TTCTAGGTGATATGTCTACCCATACCTTTTGAATTCTGCAGTAAAAGAAGCGGACCAGATCTCTTCTGTCTTTACTTCTAATAGCAGCAGAAGGTTTTGGTGACTTTTTTTTTCCTTTTTTTTTGAGTCCAGCTCAAACTGAGCACAAGACTACAATGAACTAATTTTTGTGTGCGTTCACACTTGTATGGCCCTAGACTGTTCCTCAGTGTCACCCAGCTTGTCTATGCATAAGGGTAAATACCAGTCTCTTTAGAAGATTTAATATCTTAGACCAAAGCTTATATAGTTAGCTGCCCTGTGGAGTTTGTTTTGTTTTTTAAGATTATTTGTGTCTGTACCAAAAACACCAAAGGTGGAATTCTTTTTTTTTAAGAAAAGTCATTGTGTTTATGGGTCTGTCTTTCTTCTGAGACAGTAGGGGAAACAAGCTGTTTTCTCCATTTACTGTCAAACTTTTGCTTTCTGTATCACCCTCTCCTACTCCTCTCTGTTCTTTTTAATGTCTTAAATCTAGATGCTGCGTACTACAGACTGTACTTCATGCAGTCTAGCTTATCAGAGAACACTAAGCAGAAAATGCTGTATTCTGAATATAAAGGCTACTTGAATGAAAGCAAGCACTGAAGAAATAAGATGACTATATACACATATTCGTCTTTCTCCAGCAGCATGACTTGCAAAGTGATGGGATTTGTGTTAGAAGTTGACTGAAGTCTGCTGATTTCAGTAATTCAAGTGTTATCTCAAACTGTGTAATTGTATTTCTTGTTCTCTGCCAACAGTGAGACTTCCTCTTGAATGGCAGTTGTTATTTCATTAACAAATCTTTGTCTGGTCAGCTCTAGAAATATAATGGGATAATCCTGCAATGTAAAGTAGCTTTACAAACCTGTGGCTGAGTTAAAGGGAGAAGGTGATCAAAATAAGAATATTGAGGAGCTGTGGCAGATTTACCTGGCGTGGTCTAAGACGTTACTGATAGCAGCTGTCCGTTCTCCCCGTGTTGGAAATCGACCATCGTTGTACTGTTTTGTCACATGTGTGTGCATCTTGGCCACAAGAGTGCAGATTTCGGCTGTTCCTTCAGTGAGCTTAAGCTGGGATGCTGGACTTCATCCTGAAGTGACTGAGATACCTGTGCTGATGCTGGTCAAGTTGAGGTCTTATTGGTTATAACTGTTAATATCTGTTCACAGAAGTCTGTCCTTAGTGGTTTTGCATTGTTAACTTTGGAGGACTAGTTCTAGAGCTTTAAAAAGGGGGTTTGTATTTGTGGCAGAAAGCCTTTCACTTCTAGAGAAAAATCTTCCTAAAGCTATATAACTGGAATTAAAATATTCAAGATCTTTTGAAATAATGTATTATAATAACATAAATAATCTATTTTTTTTTAGTTATTCTTAATTCTTCATTTATCTGAAATAACTGAATGTATGTTTTAGGCCTGTATTTTCATGAATCCACAGTCACTTTTTGCAAAGGTGCTTTGCCCTAGGGATGGTGTGGTGGCTTGTAA